GATCATCTGCAGATATGGGATCTCGAATCAAATTGTGGCTGATAATGGAACTCAATTCAATTGCTCTTCATTCCGAGATTTCTGTTCCAGGTATGGGATCAAGTTGCAGTTCACTTCCGTTTACCATCCGGAGTCCAATGGCATGGTGGAATCTGTTAACAAATGCATTTTGGAAGGAATAAGGCCGAGATTGGAGCAGCATAAGGCCAAGTGGGCAGACGAGCTCAACAACATCCTCTGGGCATACAGAACCACGAGCCGAACTGCTACAGGTACTACTTTAAACCGAGTTTATTTGATTAATTTGTATAGTATTTTATTTTTTCTAATACGCTTTACCTTAGAGCAAATATGTATAATGCATAAAGCGCATTCTAAAGTTATAATTAACTGAAATAGGTGAAATACCTTACCACCTGGCCTTTGGTACCGAAGCAGTTATTCCTATTGAAATAGGAGTCCCAAGCTTCCGGGTCACCCATTTCGATGAAGGACGAAATGGACAACTGCTTCGGGAAAACCTTGATCTGCTTGCTGAAGTCAGAGAAGAAGCTCGGCTTCGAACTCTCGCATACAAGCAGAAACTAGCCAACTTCTACAATAAACGGGTCTGCCCTCGCACATTCAAAGTAGGAGACCTTGTTCTTAGAAAAGCTGGCCTAACAGGGTTTGAAACTCGTTTTGGCAAACTCGCCCCAAATTGGGAAGGCCCTTATGCCGTGGCCGAGGTGCCACATCCTGGTGCCTATGTCCTCCAAGACGCTGAAGGAAAGAGAGTTCCTAGAGTCTGGAATGTCAATAACTTGAAGAAATGTTACCCTTAATAAAATTCTTTCAAGTGATCTATGTCTTACTGTTCTTTACACTTCTCACTTCGTATTTATTGAGATTCATTTTACCTCTTATTCTATGTATCCGAAGTCAATCAGTACTTATATCTCACTTCTGATTAATAAAAGTCACTTCACATATGAAGTACTTTATTTCCTTTTAAGTTCGTTCACAGTGATGTGCTTATTCCTAATCTACATGGAAGATATTTACTTCTTCTTAATTCGTCTGAAGTGACTTATTTTCCTTTTGTTTATTTCTGAAGTGGTTAGCCTTCTTTCAAATTACGTCTCAAATACTCAGTTCTTTTATTCATATAAAATAATAAAAATATAAACCAAACATAAACAAATATATAATTTCATTTAATGTAATACAAGTATTACAAACTGTTCAAAAGTCTCTACAAAAAATTAAAAAATAAAATAAAATTAGTTCTCTGCTGGAGGAGGTGGCTCCACTGGCTCTTGTTCAGATGGAGGAGGTAGCTGTCTTGGCTGCTCATCGTCGGAGGGAACTGGATGAATCTCCACTTCTGGAACTGGTTGGCTCTCATCCACTTCAGCTCCCTCCACTCCTGCCTCTACCTCGTCTTCCTCTACCTCTGCCCCTTCTTCCTCCACTGCCACGAACTCGAAGTCGAACTGTGGAGGGAAAATAGCACGTCCATTTGCATCATCCTCCCACCTCAGTTTGATCTGAGGGCGGAAGTCTGCTGACATGCTCTCACCATCTTCCTCCACTCCTTCTTCTTGCTCTCCGAAGGTGATCTTCGTAATATCCACTTCGGGATATTCTGCCTTCACCTTCTTCCTGCAGTCCGTGAACGCGATGATGGCAGTAGGCAGCCGGTATAGGTTGACGATATTGTCAAATGAGCTGGAGCTGATGAAGTTGCTGATGTGCTCCTTCATCCCATTGTGCACCAAGGTCTGCACGTTCCCCTTCAGCTCCAAGAACGCCTCCTTCGTCAGCTTCAGTTCTTGCGCCTAAGCCTCACGCTTGCTTTCAGAGATCTTTCGTTTACTCTCTTCAAAGCCGAGCTTGGTACTCAGGGAAGACCTCTCCTGTTCCAACTGCTTCACAGTTTGAACCACCTCGTCCAGCGACTCTTGCAGATCTTTATTTTTCTTCTCTAGCTCCTCCTTCTCCTTCTACAGCTGGTCACACTGCCTCTGCAAGAGTGCGCGCTCCTTTATACTCTCCCTGAACTCCTGGGCTAGACCATTCACCTAGCTCGCGCTCTGCAAATCAAAGCAAAAGTTCAAAGGGAAAGAAGAGAAGAAGAAACAGAATAAATAAACAGCAGCGTTAATTTAACGTACCTCAAGAACATGCTTCACAACAGATGCTCCCCCGTACCTCAGAGCTTCCTCCCGCGCGTTGCGCTTGTCCACTTCGGGGAAGGTGCTGTTGATGAACCACCTAGCCCCCATTATGTTATTTCCCTCGAACAGGCTGCTCTGAGGCACCACCGGGGAAACAGGGCCCTTTCCCTTACCAGGAGCCCGTACCTCAGCCCCCCCTCCAACGTCTGAGCTCAGGGTTCAGCTCAACAGGAGGAGGCTGAGGTACGAACTCAGGAACCCCATTCCCCTCTTCCTCCTCCACCACTTTCTGCTTCTTCTACAGTGCCCTCCTCTCCTCCCAACCCTTCCTCTTCAGCGCTGGCACCTCCTCCTCCGTCTCAGCTGAAGCCACGGGCACTACCTCCTTCCCGGTCCTCCCCTCATCCACTTTCTTGGTTGAAGTCTTTGACTTCTTCCTTGGCTTCTTGGGGATGGGCGCTCCTCCAACAGTGTTCAAAAACTGGTCCATTTCAACTGCAAAGCAAGAAACACAATGTTAGTCACAATTTTATATTCTACATTTAGTGCTACAGTGCATGATAAACAAACCTTCACTCAGAGCGCTTGGCCCATAGAGCTCAGCAGCCTCTATGCATGCTGCGCTGGTGAGGTCCATGATGTTCAACACATCTCCCCCCTTCCTCACCAACTTCCCCACTTCTTCCTCCTCATCCTCATTTAAACTAAACCTACTATTCTGGTTGGCCCTTTTGGCCTTCCAGGAGGCTAACGCCCTCACCTCAGCATCCCCCTTACCCCACTCCGTGTCATCCACAAAAAAGAATTTTTCCTTCCATCCCTTAATGGATGAAGGACCCGCAGTGAATAAAATCAATCCTACTCTCCTTCTTAGCTACCCTAGGGGTGAAATAATACCACCCCTTATCCCTCATACTTCCTCCCTTTAAAACAAAAAAGTATTTAAACATATTCACAATTGGTACACTAATCCCTTGAGCTCGGCAATAAACTAAAAAACCTATTATTACCCTCATTGCGTTGGGGGCCAACTGTGTCAACCCTATGTTGTAATCTAATAGTAAACCCACAAGCAACTCCGGAATTGGAAACTTAAGGCCAGCATACAAATAATGGGAGTATACGGGCATCCAATGATCCCGAGGAGCAGAGCACGCCCTCTCCTCTACCCTAGCTGGCCTAACTAGCACTCGGGACGAGATTTCGTAATTTTCTACTAAGTGACCTAGGCTATCCTTGGTCCTTAGTTTAGATCGATACTGTTTCACCTCCTCCACTATCTCTGCATTTTCATCATAATCCCTCTCCCCTCTACCCTCTACTTCTACTACCGTAATGGGTATGCTATCTCCCTCAACCCCTACCACCTCGTTCCTCCCAACCTCTACCACCTCATCCTCTCTCATCCCCTCCACCGTCTTCTCCGAACTAGATGGAGACGGACTACTCTCTGAGTCCATACCCCCATAGTCTAAAGGCATCACCTCACTCCCAATCACACTTCCTGTTCCTTCTGCGGACATTTTCTCAAACTTTGCATGAGGTAGGGGGGAGGAATGAAGTCAGGACCCATTAAAAAAAAAAAAAAAAAAAAAACCCCTCCATTACACATTCAAAACCCTTTTCATCTCTAACCCTAACTTCCTTCAGAGGACTCTAAATCAATCACAGAAAGGGAGAAAGGAGAAAGACACTTCAATTAACTTAAAATCAGAGTTCCGTCTACATTACCTGATCTCGGTTTCGAAAGACTTGATTTAGAGTTCCCCAGTTGATGCTGCAGTTCACGCACAGGAAACGCACAGTAAAGCTTCTCGCAGAAGTTTTGCAGGAAAAGAAATGCAAGTAAACCTTTTTCTGCAGAAAAAATGCCTATTTATACTTCTAGGCAAAATTAGATCTCAACGGCTGAGATTCATTTAATCTTACGGTCCCTATTGACCACGTTTGGAATTCAACGGGCAATCCCAAACGGTACCGTTTGGAACTTGACGGTTCGTTTTTTAATTCACCCGTTTAACTGTCGCAGTTATCTTTTTACGGCCGCATTTATTGCGCACATCATTTCAAGGACAACTGTTACACCACGTGTTACCCCTTTGTCAGATTTTTCAAAACGAACCCACTCACAACCATTTCAACACCTTTGTTTATCTTTCTCAATTTTGTCAAGTATTTCACTTCGGTTCCGACCACAATAATGCTGCATTACATTTCACATCGACTTCGGCCACAGTGATCCTGTATCACACATTTTATTTCGGCTCCGGCCATTATGACTCCGGTCATTATATTTTATTATGGTTCCGGCCATTTTGACTCCCATTTTTATATTTAAGCCTAGTTCAGCACTTCTGTTTACTTATACAATTACACTTTTAAACTGACATTACATTTTACTTCGGCTCCGGCCACAAAGACACATGTTTTACTTCGGTTCTGGTTACTGTGACTACATGTCACCTACTCTACCTCAGCTCCGACCATCATGACTCCGGTCATCATATTTTATTATGGATACGACCACCAAGACTCCGGTCATCACCTTTTACTATGGCCGCAGTCACGATTAATTCTAGTCATTATTTTTACACGACCACAACCATGATCACTCCGGTCATATTCTATTTAAGACACTCCCAGTGTAGTCCACTGTTACATATTTCATTATTAGCTACGGCTATGTTTACATTTAAGTTACAGACTTTATTTCTTCTTCTTACATCCACAACCTATCCTCATTCTCTTTGTTTATGCACTCCCCTCAACATCCCCAATAACATCATTCACAAGTGAATGACTTCGGGGGGGCAATAGTGTAAGGATAGGTCCGAGGTGCCAAGCCCCGGACTGCTACAGTAATTCCTTTATGACCGAAGTGAGGAATAAATCCAAAGCTTCCCGCTCAAATGGCTGCATGACAAGGACAATAAGCATGCCCGCACCTGATCCCTTACGATAAGTGGCACAGCAAGTATGGTGGATGCTCGTGCATCTGGATACCCCTCAAATTCCCGGTCCCAGAAGAACCGTCTGGAGGGACACGTCAGGCTCCGATTATCTTGCTTGGCATGCCACGTGGGTTCCTCATTGGATCCTATAAATACCCCCAGAGGCCACCTTAGAAAGGTAATTGAAACCAACCCTAAGCTCTTTTTATCTCCGCCCTAAAGGTAGCCCCGATTATTGCTGACTTAAGCATCGGAATGTCTACCCCGAGTTCCACCTCGGGGCTTTGCAGGTCATCTCGGAGTACAAGCGCGGATTGAAAAAGGACTTCAGGTTTGGTGCAATTACACTTTCTATGTTCCATTCCACTCAATTTCCATCTCTCATCCATACACATAGAAAGTACACACACAACACAAGCAGGAGCTGAGAAGAAGAGAAAGCAGAATCAGCGGTGCGTATTTCCTCTTCCAATTAATGAAGAAAGCAGTAAAGCTAGTGTTCATTCCCGCACCGAGCCTGGGCCACCTTATATCAACGGTCGAAGCTGCAAAGCTACTAATAAATTTCGATGACACCCTCTCCATCACAGTTCTCATTATCAAAACATACTTCAAATCCAAGACCACAGACTATATCCAATCCCTCACCTCTAATCCTTCGTTCTTCCATCGAATCCGATTCCTTGAACTACCCAGCCTCACGACGAGCTCATCACCAAAAACCTCTCTCCGGCTTACTTCTTCACTACCTACATCGAGAACCATGTTTGAACTATGGCATGAAAGCTGAAAAAGAAATGAAATGATGCTGCAACATGCTGCACAGTAGCAGGAAAGTGACAGCAGCACGGAAGTTTCACATGGATTACAAGAAATCACAGCAAACTTCATCATTTTAATCAATGTTTTAGGTAATTAATAATTATTATATTAGGTAGAAAAATCTTATTGTTTTATGTGTAGCCTTCCTCGATAAAAAAAAAGAAGGAAGAAATTGAATGAAAATTGAGAGAAAGAGAAAGCATGGTTTCTTCTCTCTGATTAGTTGAATGTCTGCACCCTTCCATGTTTATGGCTTTATGTTCCATGTCATGTTTCTAAGTTCTACTACTTCGACTCTCCGCCAAGTCCTCTCTCAATCCCCCCTTTTTACCAGCAAAAATCTAACAAAGCATAAACCCCAAGTCAAAGAGGCAGTTACCAACGCCATCACTGGCTCCAACAACTCAGTTGTTTTTACTGGTTTTGTTATCGACATGTTCTGCACGTCAATGATAGATGTGGCTCATGAATTTGGCATGCCTAGATACATGTTTTTCACCTCAGGTGTTGCTCTCCTCAATCTCATGTTCTACGTACACGAACAAAACATTGACACCACCAAGCTCAAAGGTGTAGTTGCAAGGGAACTTGGGTACTTCGGGGTCCTGTTTGCTCACTTCAGTAGACCTGCAAAGCCCCGAGGTGGGTCCTCGGGGTAGACACTTCGATGCCTAAGTCAGCAATAATCAGAGCTACCAAATGTGAATCAAGAGATAAGTTTGACTTCGGTTTTTCAATTACCTTTGGAGAGGACCCTCGGGGGGTATTTATAGCCTTCAAGGGGGGCATCCACGTGTTGTTCTTCACGA